ATATTCACATCCTGCTCCAAGTATCCAAAACAGAATTCACTGCTAAATATTTCACCATCTAAAAATATGCATAATATTTGGTTTTATATGGTATCAGTTTGTTTTTGCATTGTTTTATAATTTATAGAAAGGTCTTAGGCTGGGTAATTAATTTTAAAAAAGGTTTATCTGGCTCATGGTTCGCACAGCACTGGCATCGGCTGGGCGTCTGGTAAGTCCTCAGTAAGTTTACAATCATGGCAGAAGACAGAGAGGGAGCAGTCGTGTCACATAGTGAGAGGAGAACAGAGCAGACGTGGTGCCAGGTTCTTTTAAACAATCAGAGTGGGAATGACACTAAGCCATTCACAAGAGATCCGCCCCCATGATCCAATCACCTCCCACTAGGCTCCACCTCTAACACTGGAGATCACATTTCGGCATGAGATTTGGAGGGAAAAACAATCCAAACCAAATCATCAGCATCAAAGGTAGAAATAGGAGCAAAGAATTAACTATCAATTTTTGGTGAATATAAGCTTCTCTGCCTGAAAGATGTTCACAGAAACACTTAGATCTCAGACTTGCAAGGAAACTTAAAATTCCAGAAGAGCCACTCCACAAATGTGTAAAGTCCTTCTATAACACCCATATCAAATGGCTATCCAGTGTAGGTCTCACCTCTTTCAGTTAGAAGAAACCCACTGTCCTCCTCCATAGCAAGGGCTGCAAATTGAAACCTAGTTCTAAACACAGATGCAAAAACTAGTAGTTGAAAGGGAGGAACGAGATCTTTTTAAGGATAACTTCAAATTATCTCCCTACAAACTGCATATTAATCATAAGGGGAAAAATCTTAAAGTGGAGAAACCGGGTAAACAGTGTTCACAGTTAACATCACCAATAACGGGACAAACGGATCATCATGAAGGATAGCACTTCTGTGGTATGACTGCCGAAGAGACATCCCTGAGTTGAAGCAGAAGAAACCTCAGGCAACTCAAACTGAGGAGCATTCCACAAATAACTGGTCCGAATGTTTAAAAAATGTTAAGGTCAAAAAAACACTGGCTGGACACAATGGCTCATGCCTGTAATCCCAGCAACTTTTGGGAAGCTGAGGCAGGAGGATTGCTTGAGCCCAGGAGTTTGAGACCGATTTGGACAACATGACAAGACCTTGTCTTTACAAAAAGATCAAAAATTTAGTCAGGCGTAAGTCCCATATACTCAGAAGGCTGAGGTGGAATGGTGGCCTGAGCCCAAAAGGTCAAGGCCATGATGCCACTGCACTCCAGCCTGAGCAACAGAGTAAGACCCCGACTCAAAAACATAAAAAATAGCTGGGCTTGGTGGCTCAGCCTGTAATCCCAGAACTTTGTGAGGCCAAGGCGAGTGAACTGCCTGAGGCCGCGGGTTCGAGACCTGCCCAGGTAACTTGGTGAGACCTCATCTCTACAATAAATAAAAAACTAGCTGGGTGTGGTAGCGCGAGCCTGTAGTTCCAGCTACATGGAAGGTTGAGGCGGAAGGATGGCTGAAGGCCAGCGGGTCGAGGCTGCGGTGGCCAGGAGCGTGCCTCCAGCCTGGGTGACAGAGTGAGACTCTGACTTAAAAAAAAAACCAAAACGCCAGGCTCAGTGGCTCAGCCTGTAATCCCGTACCTTTGGGAGGCTGAGGTGAGAGGATTGCCTGACCCCGCGGGTTCGAGACCCACCTGGGCAGCGAGACCTCATCTCTACAATAAATCAAAAAATCAGCCGGGCGTGGTAGCGCGCGCCTGTAATTCCGCTACTCGGAAGGCTGAGGCGGAAGGATCGCCGGAGCCCAGCAGGTCGAGGCTGCGGTGGCCGGAGCGGGCACTGCACTCCAGTCTGTGCGACAGAGTGATACTCCAACTCAAAAAAAAAAAAAAAAAACACCATAAAAAAAAACCACACAAAGAAAAGTCGTGGAACTGTTCCAGATTGATAGGAAACTAAAGAGATATCAACTAAGGCAAAATTATTGGGATAACTGATGAAATGCAAATGCTTTAGATAATAATAACACTGTTAAATTTCCTAATTTTGATCATTGTACTTTGGATGTATAAAGAATGCCTTTGTTCTTAGAAAATACACACTGACATATGAGCAAGAGGGAAAGAGGGAGAGAGAGAAGGAGATGAGGAGAGAGGGAGGGAGGGAAGGAGATGAGGAGAGAGGGAGGGAGGGAAGGAGAAAATGGAGCAAATCGGTGATGACCAGTGAGTCTGGGGAAAAGACACACAAGAGGTCTTGTTATTACTCTTATAACTTTTATGTCTGAAATTCTATTAACATTAAAAGTTGCCCAAAACAGTTCACACAATGTTATGTAAGAATACTAAGAAATGTGTGAACCCAGTTTCCTTTAAGAGCTGGTGCCACTCACTGAAACTGTCTCAGCTTAATGTCTCAAGTGAACCTTTTCTGAATGATGTGCCACTTATTTTGGCACTTCACATCTCCAGGTCACCATTCACTAAATTATCTTAATTGTCTATGAACATCTCTCTTGACGTCTGTACTTGCAGTTTTCACCCCAAAGAGCATTCTCCATATTTAGATACCCCAAGGCAACAATGTTGGGCAGTTGGAGACACTCCTGGCTGCAAGACACACAGGCTGCACCCAAGATCCAAGCTAACTTGACTTTAGTCACAGCATTTCTGCAGCAGCATTTTAATGCATGTGTGTACAATAGTTCTGTAACGTATGTGTGAGTATATATAACAATAATATACATATACGTATGTATATAATCACTTTTACTTATGTGACTAGCAAACAAGTATAATTAAAATGTCAGGAAGTGAAGAGAAAAAATAAGCACCCTTACTCACCAGTGCCATCTTAGGAGAGAGAAGGGAGAAACAATTTGGCGATATCTATCAAAATTTTCAACATGCACATTCTTTGACGCAGCCATTTTGCTTCTTAGTGATAATTTGCTATCCAGAAATAATGCCACGAGTGCACAAAAATGTCTGGACAAAGACGGCCTTAATTCATTTATATACATACACACATATACCTACATATACACATGCATACATACACACATATGAACACACTTCTTTTCGTTTCTATATTCATCAGCAGCAAAGGCTGAAAAAAATGTATAAGAAATAGCAATGGGCCGGGCTTGGTGGCTCAGCCTGTAATCCCAGTTCTTTGGGAGGCCGAGGCAAGTGGATTGCCTGAGACTGCGGGTTTGAGACCCACCTGGGCAATTTGGCGAGACCTGTCTCTACAATACATTCAAAAATTAGCCGGGCATGGTAGCGTGCGCCTATAGTTCCGGCTACTTGGAATGTTGAGGTGGAAGGATCACCGGAGTCCAGTAGGTCAAGGCTGTGGTGGCCGGGAGCGGCCACTGCACTCCAGTCTGGGTGACAGAGTAAGACTCCAACTCAATAAAAAAAAAAAACAGCAATAGCAATGGTAGGTACATCAACAGAAGATCATCTACCAATTATCTTCAGTTCCTTACCATGGATTTTGCCTGCAAAACGAAGTGAGAAAAACTGTGTGTGACAGTGAAGGGAAGCACTGCTCGAAAGAGTAAAATATTATTAAAAAACCATGTGTCGCCAGGCTCGGTGGCTCAGCCTGTAATCCCGCGCCTTTGGGAGGCTGAGGTGAGTGGATGGCCTGAGCCTGGGGGTTCGAGACCCGCCTGGGCAACTTGGCGAGACCTCATCTCTACAATAAATCAAAACATCGGCCGGGCGTGGCAGCGCAAGCCTGTAATTCCGGCTACTCCGGAGCCCAGCAGGTCGAGGCTGTGGCTGCACTCCAGTCTGGGCGACCGAGTGAGACTCCAACTCAAAAAAAAAAACAACCATGTGTCCATCACTGAGGCCCTTAACAAATAACGATACATCATACATCCATACAATATCATATTATAAAGCCATTAAAGAGAAAGAGTGAAGAAGAGAAATAGAAAGAGGCCAAGATTTACTATTCGTTAAGGGGGGAAAGTACTGTATAACATACATGTCATAAAATAACTTTTTTGCTTAAAAAGAACAAAAACGGAATCTTGAAGAAGTTATACTAAACCATAAACAATTCCATCTGGGTGTAGAACTACAAAGTCTTACAGTTCTTAAAATAGTTCTGCAATACTTGGATTTTCCCAGTAATCATCACTGTTTTCTAAGTATAAAAAACTAAGGAAAAAAATCTATACTAAAGTGGTCAGATTTAAATAACTTGCAGCAAATATTAGGACACACACCACTTTACAACATTTTTTTAAAAAATCCTCTACAATAGGTATTTTTATTTCTAGTGGCAAGACTATTTTTATTTCCTAAATAAAATCCCATTCAGAAGCTGATAAGAGAAACTAAAGTCGGTTGGGTATGGTGAGGCAGAGGGAAGAGGGTCATGGGGGGAAGAATCCTCTCTGCCTCCCATTCAGTATCATGCTCGAGGAACCCAGTTGGTCAGAGGAAATGTGAGTAATTCAGCAACAAGTGACCTGGGCAAGAGGTCCGTAAGTCTTCGGGTTTTACCGCCTTACAGTTAAAAAGCAGCCTCACCACAGAACACATGGGTGGCCACGTCCGCTGCACCTTTCTTCCATCATCTCCCCACAGAGGGGAGCATCATATCCGCTTCACCAAAAGACCTGTCTCCCCAACTCCCCCACCCCTACCCAAATAGTTTTACCATAATAACAGTTCGGTTATTATCGGGGTCAACGTCCACTTTCCATGCTGGATCCCAATTTGAAAAGCCTGAAAGTGTTCTGTCATATGCAAATCACCTAAGCAAAGGGCACCTTCATGTTAAAGGACTTGGGACATTTCAGAGGAACAGACTAAGGACTTACAATATAAATCTGAAAAGGTCCAGTACTATTACATTATAGCACACCACCCATTGACCCTTTTGTACAGATGGCAGCTCACTCCTCAAATACAGCCCTTGTCTCTGGGGCCTGGGGGATCCTCCCATGACGTCTGTGGTGAACCACTCTCTTACCTTGGACTTCGCATGCCAAGTGAAGTGCAGGAAATTTGTCTCACTGGGTACTAACAGGTTAAAGGATAGAGCGTAGTGACTAATAAGGTCGTTTCTCACATAATAAAGTTCTGCATCAAGACCTAGAAAAAAATAGGGAAAAATAATTTAAACACCTAAACACCCTCAAAATCATACCTTTCGGTATTCCAAATACTAATAACAGAATGAAGATAATATTGATGTACAAATGTACGTCACAAATGGCCCTCCCATGTGCTGCCTTATGAAGCAGGAAGGACACTGGGTATTCTCATCGCCAACAAAGATGGAGAAACTGGGATTCAAAACAAGCATCACTGGCTAAAAATACGTATGCTGGAACCAGAACTCTGGCAGCCACTGTCTAGTGAGAGCCAGTGAGTGTGACACTCTTCTACACAGTGCTTCTTAAGGGACTGCCTACAAAGAAACATTTCTTCTTCCAAAAAAACTGATGTGGATTTAGGAAGAGAGATTCAAGCAAAAGAGAGAAAGGCACCTTGGTTAAAACATAAGCCTCCAACCAGAGATGACCTCTGCTTCCTCTGGCAGCGTTTACCATGGTCCAAAGACAGGTGTCTCACAGGCACATGTCGCCTTCCCTACCTAGACTACAAGGTGAAGAACACCACATTTTTTCATCATGTCCTTAGGACACAACTCTGCATAAGGCAGACACAGTAAGTTCTTGAACAACAAGTTAGTACTGCAGACAAAACAGAAATAAATGGAAAAGTCTGAGATGCTAGAGAAGTAATTCCCAAACATCTTCCACATCACCTTCCCAACAGGGGACACACACAACTACCAATACATTATCACATTCTTCAATGCCGTTACACTCTTTTACCCTATCTGTATCTTAGATTTTTCCTTAAAATTCAATTTTTTTAAAACAAAAATTTTAAAGGCAAAATTTGATTACTACCTTGAGTGTAAAGTCAATAGTTATTGGGAAAAAATACAAAGTAACCAAAAAACAAAACAATAGTATTAAATTCTAGCTAAATACTAGTGCCTACCAAGAAAGCAGTGAGCTGGAGTCCAGCTCATTGTTTACAAAAAGGAAGGAGTGGGGTATTAGTCAATGTTTGAGAGAGGGGGAAAAAAAAAAATCACAGAGGCTTTCTCCATGATAATCCAAAAGAACTGAAAGAATAAACGCAGGAGGGAAGAACTTTCTCTTGAATTCATTTACTGTTATATAAGTTCTGCCCAGGTGTCCCTAGCATATATATTCCACAAGCTGGAGGGGGAAAGGTGCCAAGGAAACCAGGTGAAATGTAAACTTCACACTTACTGGGGCTGTGCTGCGGGTCTGAAGCCTCATGGTATGTTCAGAGGTCAAGATGGGAACCTCATAACTTCTAAGCACGCTACAGAAACAACTCTGGTACAGGCATGTCGCCTATTAAATTAGTTCTCTCATTTCTGAACTGGATCTAATATAATCATTCATTCAGAAATAAGGTTTGAGGTTTATTCAAGGGAAAGCTGATGCACTGGCTGTGCAGTATTGCTTTACTCATCCTGGAGAGAGTACCAAGTGCTAGGAAGGAAAATGAGAGGCTTCTGCAAAGGCTCGCCCTGCTGGCAGGACAGGAAGTGCCAATAAACATCTGGGGGGCGCGGGAATGGCAGTGTTGGAGAAAGGGGGTCAAGAAGAAACTGTAAATAATTAAAATAATTAAAATGTGTTTATTTTTTAAAGAGCCGCCGGGCTCGGTGGCTCAACCTGTAATCCCGCGCCTTTGGGAGGCTGAGGTGAGTGGATTGCCTGAGCCCGCGAGTTCGAGACCCGCCTGGGCAGTGAGACTTCATCTCTACAATAAATCAAAAAATCAGCCGGGCGTGGTAGCACATGCCTGTAATTCCGGCTACTTGGAAGCCTGAAGCGAAGGATCGCCGGAGCCCAGCAGATCGAGGCTGCGGTGGCCGGGAGCGGCCACTGCACTCCAGTCTGGGTGACAGAGTGAGACTCCAACTCAAAAAAAAAAAAAAAAAGCCTTAATCTTATTCTAGTAGATAGATGATGCTGACTTAAAAATATATGCCGGGTTCGGTGGCTCAGACTGTAATCCCGTGCCTTTGGGAGGCAGAGGTGAGTGGATTGCCTGAGCCCGCGGGTTCGAGACCCGCCTGGGCAACTTGGCGAGACCTCATCTCTACAATAAATCAAAAACTAGCCAGGCGTGGTAGCATGCGCCTGTAGTTCCAGCTACTCGGAAGGCTGAGGCGGAAGGATCGCCAGAGCCCAGCAGGTCGAGGCTGTGGTGACCGGGAGCGGTCACTGCACTCCAGTCTGGGCGACAGAGTGAGATTCCAACTAAAAAGAAAAAAAAAAAATATATATATATATACACACACACACACACACACACACACACACGCACCGGGCGAAGAAAACCCTAATGTAGATTAGACAGTATGGACATGAGGCAAACCTAAAACTCAAGACAGGCCACTGCCTGGCTAGACTCTGGTGTGGCCAATGTGCTCTTTGAGCCATGGCTGTCACCATGCTTCCTGGTTTTGGTCCCCGCCCCTACCCTGGGGAGGTGAATTTTCTCTCTCCCTTCTGTTTCTCTATTTACTTTTAAATAAACTTTTCTTTAAAAAAAAAAAAAAAACTCGCTAGGCTCGGTGGCTTAGCCTGTAATCCCATGCTTTGGGAGGCTGAGGTAAGTGAATTGCCTGAGCCCACGGGTTCGAGACCCGCCTGGGCAACTTGGTGAGACCTCATCTCTATAAATCAAAAACTAGCCGGGCGTGGTAGCGCGCGCCTGTAGTTCCAGCTACTTGGAAGGCTGAGGCGGAAGGATCGACGGAGCCCTGCAAGTCGAGGCTGCAGTGGCCGGGAGCGGCCACTGCACTCCAGTCTGGGTGACAGAGTGAGACTCCAACTCAAAAATCCTAATTCATCTGATGAGACCAGCATCATAATGATGCAAAAACCTAACTAAAACATTCTGAGAGAAGAAAATTATAGACCAACGTCCCTCGTGAACACAGAGACAAACATTCTCCATAAAACATTAGCAAATTGAATATATCAATATATAAAAGGATAACACATCATGACCAAGTATATAACACATCATGATCAAGGTTAACCATCTGAAAATCAATATAACTCACCATATTACAAAATAAAAGACAAAAACCCAGTTCACCTAAAAAGATACAGAAAATGTATTTGATAAAATTCAAAACTATTAATGAAAAAAATATAAAATGATAAAAAAATCAGCAAGCTAGGAATAGACAGAAACTTTCTCAGTCTGGTAAAGAGTGTTTACAAAAACCAGCTAACATCATATTCAATAGTGAATTATTAAATCCTTATTCCTAAGATCAGAAACAAGGTAAAGATGTCCACTACCACTACTTCCTTTCACCCTTGTAAAGAGGTCTTAGCCACTGTTAAGACACAAAAAACATAAAGATGAAGCAAAACTGTCATTATCAAGGTTGACATATTGTTTATGTGGAAAATACTATGAAATCTATTAAAATACTACTAAAACCAATTAGTGAATTTGGCAAGGACTCAGAATACAAGGTCAATGTTTAAAAATTAGCTGCGGCAGGGCTCGGTGGCTCAGCCTGTTGTAATCCCAGCACTTTGGGAGGCAGAGGTGAGTGAATTGCCTGAACCTGTGGGTTCGAGACCAAACCGGGCAATCCGGCGAGACCTCATCTCTACAGTAAATAAAAAATTAGCCAGGCGTGGTAGCACACACTTGTAGTTCTGGCTACTTGGAAGGTTGAAGCGGAAAGATGGCTGGAGCCCACCAAGTTGATGCTGGGGTGGCCATGAGGGTGAGACTGCACTCCAGCCTGGGCCACAGAGTGAGACTGACTCAAAGGGAAAAAAAAAAACCAGCTGTATTTCTATATTAGCAACAATTGGAAAATAAAATTTAAAAGCCAATACCACAACATTAAAAACAGCCAGAAACTTAGGAATAAATCTAACTAAAGCTATGTAAGGCCTCTACACTGAAAACTATAAAACCTGTTTTAAGAAAAATCAGAGACCTAAATAACTGTAGAGATACACTGAATCATCCTCTTAGATAAGCCTCATCTGTTAAGATGTCAAATCTCGCAAATTGATCTTCATATTCAAAGTAATCCTAATCAAAACCTCAACAGATTTTTTGAAGAAATAAACAGATTCATTCTAAAACAAAAGTTAAATGCCAAAACAATCTTTAAAATGAAAAAACAATATTGGGGTATTCTCCTTACTTGATTTAACAATACACTGAAAGTCTACAGTTACAAGATGGTTTGGGACAATGTAGTACCGGGAACAGACATACCAACAGAAAAGAACAGAATCCCAAAATATACCTGGCATGTACAAAGCCAACAGAATTTCAACAAAAGCATCAAGGTAATTCAATTAAAGTATTTTCATCAGATGATACTAAAGCAACTGGATGGATTAAAAATAAACCTCGAAATGCAAATTAAAGCCACAATGAGATACCACCTCACTCCAGTTACATTCCCAGTGCAGGTAGGAATGTAAACTAGCGCAGCCATTAAGGAAAACAGTATAAAAGTTTCTCAAAAGATTAAAAATAAACTACCATATGATCCAGCAGTCCTTTTACTAGGTATACACCCAAAGGAAATTAAGTCAGTATGTTGACGAGACATCTGTACTCTCAGATTTATTGTAGCACTATTTACAATAGCCAAGATATAGAACCAACCTAAGTGTCTAACACATTAATGGATAAAGAAAACTTGGTACACACACACACACACACACACACACACACACACACACACAAATGAAATACTACTCAGCCTTTAAAAATCCCATCATTTGCCACAACATGGATGAACCTGGAAGACATCAGGTTAAGTGAAATAAGCCAGACACAGAAAGACACATACCACATGAATACCACATGATCTCACTCATGTGGAATCTTAAAAAAAAAAAGAAAAAGCAAGTTGGTATCAAAGAAGCAGAGAGAAGAACAGTGGCTACCAGACAGCGGAGAGGGGAACAGGGAGAGGCTGGTCAACAGGTACAAACCTACCAGAGACCATGGAGTGGGGAGAGGGGACAAGGAGA